GAAAGTGCGACTCCACAATGGTACTGTTAGTTTCTTATTCTTACCTTTCCTCCCTCTGTAAACCTTTTTGACTTAACTCTAAACAGTATCACCTGAAGTAAATCCCTGGTATTGTTGCTCGCTGGGGTAGCTGTCCGAATCTAGAGAAGGTAAACGAATCATGACAACCCACGAAAACAATATTCACGTGGTAGCACCAGAGGAAGTCCCAAATCCTACTGGTGTATGAATCTGGACGCAAGTTAGGCGAAAGCCTGTTTTCGTCCTAGAAACCTGACCTCACCTGACCTGATCAGTCTGTTTTAGGTTGCTTTACAAATTGCATTGTGCTGCCATTTAGGAGCACTGTTCTTCCCGGGGCTGCAGCGCGGGCACCCAATGTGTTGTGTGATTCATCGGTTCCAACTAGCTCATTACTGCTGTACCTTCTCGTAATTTATAGATCCTTTTGTCTGGTTGACTCATTTTCCTTTCAATTTCATTTTAAGGTTTATGTGAAACTCGTTGGACTGCTACTCCTCCTCCCCTTTGGTGTATTACTTCCTCACACGCTCATCCACTATCACTAATAGCAAGCGCCTCAAATTTGGTGGTGTTTTGCTTCTGCTTGACTGTGGTTCACTCATCCAGTAAGTAAATTTTGAAATTCGTTAAAAATTCACATTCAGCTTCTGATTAGTGGTAACACACACGCTCTCCATGCTCTAAGTCCGGAGTTCAAAGCCTGGACGGGACGGTGGATAGGCACTATTGATTAAATCAAACAAAACCGAAACTCGAGTCTAATGCTTCTGAGTGTATGGTTGACTGGAAGAACTGAGGATTGTGCACGAAGGTTAAGTATGGACGATGGTCAGTCCGAATCAACGGAAATTGGTTTCATTAATAAGTCTGTTGAATTTAAAAGGGGTGATAGATAAATTTCCTAATGATTGTACAGTGTTACGTCTTCAAATAGTCGTAAATTGAGTGTGTGTGATGAACATTTGCATACTGTAATGGGCAATATGTAAATGAGTAGCATGACAACGACATCATTTTTTATTCTGTATGACTCTGAGTAATACATTAATTAATTCTTCCGTCGAATTGCCGCAATAAATATATTGGGGCNCTCTTTACTGCTTCCATATGCGCAGCGTCTACACAGATCTCCGAGTTTAAAGCAGCTTAAATATGATAGAAATTGTACATACCGGATTGCAGGCAACTTTCACACTGGGAAAATACAAATAGAGACGTCAATCTCTCTCTCCGCAGCGAATAAAAACATGAGAGGTTTAACGAGTTCACAAATGGCAGATATTATCCCCGGTATTATTTGTATTGAAGTCCGAGAGAAATCTTCCTCAAGAGATCATTAAAAAGATAGTTTTCTCTTACTTGAAGAATCCATATTTCGATTGTCTTCAGTTTTTCCTCACCACGCACATCTGGCTTCAAAGCAACTAAATAAGCTAAGCCCTGGGAAACCCAGTACATAACCACATTGTGCCCTATTAAGATAGCTATGTTAGTAAGACGAGTCCCAGGGAAGCTTTCTAACACAAAACTCGGAGTGATAGTGGCGAGTTTTGAGCAACGAGGGCCACAGAACGGTTTCTGGGTCAGTGAGAAGCAGATATACCGTGTCATAAACACCATCGTGACTCCAAAAGGCCATAAAAAACAAATCCTTATTTTTCATTTGAACTACTCATTCTCCAAACTCCTTGTGAAGAAATAATATCCGGAGCATCTAGTCAAAAAAGTACTCGGGAAGTGTCAGACACAGTTTTCGCTTTTATCGTACTTCATCAGTTTTCGTATCTACCGTCATCGGGTTCTTTACACACCAGGTGTGTGTTTTAGCATGGTGCCAACCGGTACACACTAATGCATACAAAAACTCGAATCTGATGTTTCTCGAGAATACAATTAGCTGAACTAACTGTAAAATGTGTGCTATGGTAAAGTCTGAACAAAGCTCAATCCAACATTTGGTGGCAAATTATCCAATTTGTTCAATAACTTAATAACCGAAGTCAATACTAGGTGTGACGTCATTTGTAACGGAAATGTCAGTAGGAATTGTAAATCATTTCTTTGGTTTTAATATAAATAAACGTAAATCTTAAAACCGACTGTATTACTTCACAGGAGGTTTTCTTCAAAATAATAATTTAGTTCAATATTTTTGTAGTTTTTAATTGGACCGTGGTTACGACATGAAAAGGTTCGCTAGTCATTAATGCGAATGATATGACAACTGCCCATATGATGTGATGAAACAGATGAAACTGTGTTGATTTCGACCTAGGCGTATGAGCGGAATGAGCGTCTCCACTTCGATCCCAGTTGGAATACGGACGAGAGAAGGTAATCGGAGATAGACAAAAGTATTCCATGATAATTGCATGATGCGCATATATAAAGTGCAAATCGAAGGTAGGGGAATCATGTAATTACGTACCAATCAGATGGCGTCGTTGACTCTCCAGTTTTTTGATCGAACAGCTGTTGTCCGATTCGCTCGGCTCGCGAGCGTACTTGTGGAGTAACGTGGATCCTTGAGCAACCGGAAGAGTTCTGTATGCACTGTCCTAGAAAATCAATTACAAGATAGTTTCTTACACCACAGAAACAAGTTTATGTGGATATTTGTTGCCAGTCCCCGGCTAATATGGATTGTTATGAAGATCTTTTCATATTTTGTCTTTATCTGGGATACTTTCCCGATAACGGTAGAAGAAAAGCAGTTAATTACGAAATTGCAGAATGTACTTCCGAAATTATTTCGCTGCCTCTCAAATAGTGTCTACTGTAAACACAAAGCATACATATATATGTCATTGTACACAGAGTCATAACAAAGGAGAGTAAAAACAGTCTGACATACGACCAAGATTGCACCGATGTAACATAAATTTCCTTCTGTTGGCAGAGAATGGGTTTCTGTCGACTGGCCGCCATCGTCCCCGTAGGTCGTGGTAACTTTGAGCTTCCGACCAACTAGATGATTCTGAATAAATTACCACGATGTACTGAAAAGATTCCTGAGAACAAATTGTGTCATTT